GCCTGCCCCCCCCCCCTCCCCCGGGGTGAGCAGGAAAGGGCCGTTGGAGGGAGGAGGGGGAGGGGAGGGGACAGCTAGATGCGCTCGCGCCATAGCTGGCATCCTATCCTTCCCTCCCTCTTCCTCCCATTGCGCGGGGTGTGATATATATATATATATATATATATATATATATATATATATATCGATCTATATATATATATGTACATATAGAGAGAGAAAGAGAGAGGAGAGGAGAGACGAGGAGAGGAGAGGAGAGTAGTATTCATGATGTGTAGCTCCAAGAATGGAATGAGCGAGGAGCAGGGCTGGACAGAGGAGGCCTGCGGAGGGAGCTCGTCGCCAAATCGATCCGTCTTAGCTGCAGCCCTCTGCGGGGCAGGCTCTCTCGAAGGCGCAGGGCGCCCCGAGGAGGGCCTCCGCCCGCGCTCTGCCGGGCGGGGCGTTAGGGAGCAGGCCCGGCCCCGGCCGGTTCCCCCACCGTTTCGGTTGGCTCGTGCGCGGGTGCGCACAGCAGTTGTACCTCGCTGAGGGCCTTCCTGGGGCCTTCGCACTGCAGCAACACCCTCGAGGCTTCGTGCACCACCATCGGGGCCACCCAGAAACGATGCCTGGGCGAGCTGCCTCCATGAGGGGAGTGCGGGAGCAAGAGCGGTGAAGCAAAGAGGGGGGGGGAGTCCTCGAACCGAAGCTCGGGATCAGCCTGAGCAGGCCCAGGGGTCAATTATACGTGCCTCCGCGGATCCGTCGAGATGGAGGCATCTTGGCAGCGTGTTTTGGGCCATCGTGGGGCCCTCCTGGGGCCCTTGTGGAGGCCATCGGGCTCGCCTGCAGCTCTCTTGGGGTCCTCTTCGGGCCATCTTTGTGGAGTCCGTCGATTACACACGGGGGCGGTGTGATCATGGCCTCCCCGCTGGAGACCGAGGAAACGTATCTTGAGGCCTCTAGACGGCGCTGTTGGGGCGCTCTTGGGCGCTCTTGGGGGCGTCTCGGAGCCCTCGTGGGCCCCTCTCGGTGTTCTCTTGGCGATCTTGGAGCCATATGGAGGCATCAGAAGCCAGCAGAAGTGGAAAGGCGGAAAGGTAATTGCTCAGGTTTCTGCCGGATTTTCGCCTTTCGGGGGCGTCCCTGGGGGGCTCCGTGGTCACTTGGAGCCGTCTTGGGGCGGCCTTGGGGCCTGTCGGATGCACGGTGGGATGCCTTGGGTTATCTTATGCGATTGCGGATGCCATCTTGAGCTATTTGAAGCCCTCTTGGGCACATTTTGGGCTTTATAGGGTTCCTCTGACACCTCGCAGGGGGAGGGGTCCAGAGCAAGGGGAGGGGGGAGGGGGGGTAAACCCCTCCCCGAAGGGGAGGAAGAGTTGAGGACCAACGAAGTTGCACGGGGATGCACAGTGATTGATGGCCCTCGAGTTTTTTCGGTCCTGTTTGTTCGGCCGGTACTTTCGGTCGGCTTCGTTTTGGGTCCTGGGCTTCCGTTCCTCGGCCGTTTTCGGTCATTTCGGGCCCTTCGTCGTGCGTCGGCATTCGGAGTCGGGGCTTGACGCTGAGCCGCGTGCAAGAGAAACACAATGGACCAACGAACTCGCTAAACCACCTACGCCCAGAGCGCTGCAGGGACTACATGGCAGCTCAAAAGGGTTTTGAGGAACATACCATGACAAAAACATGCATTTTCGGAGGTCCGCGCTGATTTTTTGGATCGGCGCTGGAGGCGCCGCCAGGGGGATCCAGCGCCGGTCCGAGACATCCTCGCCGACCTCCGAACGTTCATGTTTATGCCATTATCAGTTCCCCGAGGGTTTTGCACTTCCGCCCTTTCCAGCCTTGGGCCCCAGTCGGCGTCCGCAGTTGTCGCGGTCCTGTCCCACACCTTCCTGTTGGTGGTTCAAGGATTGGATCCTGAGGGATGGGGTCTCAAGGACGAGGCGCTTCAAACAACGTCAATCCACCCTTGGATCCCTTCTTATCCTTAGGACCCCATCCCTCAGGATCATATCTTTGAGCCACCGATTTTTTCTTGTCCTGGTCTGGCACTACCAGCCCTGGCTATTCCCCCCCGCCGCTGCCCCCGCCGCTACCGCCGCTGCGACGGCGACGGCCCCTCCACAGCAGCCACAGTGGGGTCGTTTTGGTGTCGCTTCTCCTTCCCCCTTCCTCCCTCCTCCTCCTCCTTCTCCTCCTCCTCCTCTTCCTCCTCTCTCCTCCTCTCTCCTGCCTTCGTCCTTTTACCTTCTCGTCCTCCTCTCCTCCTCCTCCTCGTCGTCCTCCTCCTCCTCCTCCTCCTCCTCCTCCTCCTCTCTCCTTCCTCCATCCTTTTTCCTTCTCCTCCTCCTCCTCCTCATCCCCAGTCTGAGCCCCCTTGTGGAGCCGTCTTAGGGGCTTCTCGCCTCACGGGCTGTCTTGGGGCGAGCTTGGGGGCCTCTTGGGGCAGCCTTGGAACGTCGGCAAGCCGAAAAGGCAAGAACGCCCAAGTGAATCAGAAACCTAAGGAGCATTGCCTCTTGGGCCCCTCTTAGGAGACATCTTGGGGGAATATACATGGTGTGCGTTATATGTGTATATATATACGCACTAGAACCACGCGCGCGCTTCGCGCGCTCAGGTTCTAGTTATGCATATGCACAGGTTTCGTTGTGATACCAAGGGGATGGAAGAAAAGAGAGCCGTGTATGCTAATGATTCCCATTTGCCGAGGGTTAACTGGGGATTGCTTGAGGACCGGACGTCGTGTTCTCCAATTCCCTGCCCCTCGTCACCTTCGCCTTTCTCGATGAGGAGCAGCAGCATCAGCAGAAAGACCAGGGTCGACATAGGGAGGAGTAGGAGCAGCAGGAGTAGGTTTTGCAGGAGTCCACCAACATCGATGCTGGCGAGGCCAATCGGGAAGTCTTCGGTTGGTCTGGGAGGCTTCTTGGACCGTCCGAGGCTGTCGTGCGCCTGACCCCCCAGCGTGGCTGGGTTGTGGGTCCGAGCTCTCTTGGATGCCTGCTGGGGTCCCTTGGGAAGGCTCTTGGGAGCCTCTCGTGAGTAGTTTTGAATATCTCAGGGGCCTTTGGGGGGCCGTTTAGGGGCCTTGTGGGGTCTCTTTGGGCCCGTTAGGGCCTCTTGGGGCCTGCTGGCGGTCTCAGGGGATCTTTTGGGCCGTCTTGAGGGTCGAATCGTAAACACCCGTTTGATGTTATTTACATTGGTGGAACGGGTATTCTTGTTCAACTGGTTTAATACACGGTTCCTTATTCTGAAACGTGAGGAAATCTTACTCGTCGCAGAGAGGCATCGTAGAGGCCTCTAAGAGCCCTCTACGAGGCCTCTACGAGGCCTCTAAGAAGCCTCTACGATGCCTCTAAGAGGCCTCTACGATGCCTTTACGAAGCCTCTACGAAGCCTCTACGATGCCTCAAGGAGGCCTCTACGATGCCTCTAAGATGCTTCCAAGAGGCCTCTACGAGGATTGATTGATTGATTGGTTGATTGATTGATCTATTGATTGATTGATTGATCGGGGACCTCCTAAACAGAACGTTTGTTTGTGGTTGTTGTTGTTGCTGCTGCTTGTTTGTAAATGAGGTTCCCGTTTTATTTCTGTTGCTAGGATGCGTTTTTGGACCCCCGGGGACTGCAAATGGACTTCTGTTTTTGGACCCCTGGGCACCTCCACAAATCGAAAAGACAGCCTCCTCCACCCTCCTCGGCACCCCACCCTCCTCCACCCTCCTCGGCACCCCACGCTCCTCGGCACTTCTCGGCACTCCACCCGCCTCGGCACTCCTCGGCACTCCACCCTCCTCCACCCTGCTTGGCACTCCACCTCCTCGGCACTCCTCGGCAATCCTCGGAACTTCGCCCTCCTCCTCGACACTCCTCTGCACTCCACCCTCATCGGTACTCATCGGCACTCCACCCTCCTCGGCACTCATCGGCACTCCATCCTCCTCGGCACTCCTTAGCATTCCACCCTCCTCGGCACTCATCGGCACTCCACCCTCCTCCTCGGCTCTCTTCGGCACCCCACCCTCCTCCTCGGCACTCCTTGGCACTCCACCCTCCTCCACCCTTCTTGCTTGGCACTCCACCCTTCTCGGCACTCCTCGGCACTCATCGGCACTCCACCCTCCTCGGCACTCTTCGGCGCTCCACCCTCCCCCATCTTCAATACTGCCCGACGGAGCAGCTGCACAGTTTCAGTTTGTATTGAGGCAATCTTGTATTGAGGGCGCCTCCGGGCGAGCTTTTTTGTTTTACATATGTACATGTATAAATTTGCAGGCATATCTATGTATATATATATATATATATTATACACATACACTTATATATATGTATATGAATGGAAAGCGCACGCCTACATACATACGTGTACATATTTGTATATATACATATACATATGTATATAACACGTGCGTGTGAGTATGTGTACACACGCATTTGTACCTATACATCTGTACACATCTACCCTCGCGTGTTCACATACACGTAAACATGCGTACATTTGCATGGACGTAACCATAGACATTTGCAGTTACACAAGCATGTCTATTGTATGATGTTGCTTGAATGGTGTTCATATGCGTTAGCAATGTTCATGTGATTGAACGAGGTTCATATGCACGCATGATGCTCATACGTTAATAACCACAACAAGTCATTTCGCACCATACTGCTGCTGCTACTACTACTACTAGTACTACTAGTAGTACTACTCATATTACTACTACTATGATTATTACTACTACTACTACCACTACAATTACCACTACCACTACCACTATCACTGCTATTATTACTGCCACACTAACGACTACACATGGTATCACTGTTACTGCTGCTGCTGCTACTACTGCTCCTACTACTAGTGCGACTAGTAGTGCTGGTAGTACACGACCACGAGTAGTATCATTGTTGCTATTAATGCTGCTGCTATTGCTAATGCTATTAGTAGTACTACTACTAGTACTACTACTCGTACTATTACTAGTACTACTACTCGTTGTACT